TCGTCGTTGAATTTGGGATGAATTTTTACCGTGCTTTATAGCGACGGAAAACATTTCTTCATTAATTTTCCTTTATAAAACCATCGCTAAATGATTCATTTTTGATTTCATCGCTATTTAATCACTATTCAATAGTTAAATGGTGATGAAAATAAATCCATCGCTAATTTTCCTTCTCAAAATCATCGCTAAATGATTCATTATCGATTTCGTCGATGTTTGATCGCTATTCAATAGTTAAATGGCAACGAAAATAAATGCATCGCTAATTGCCCATTTTCTCGTATTGACAAATTCAACCAAAAGATATTTGTCTTTTATTAATTGTAGAAGTTGATTATTTTAATGAATAATAAAATTATGTAAAAATTATTTTTTAAAATTTGTAAAAATTATTTTTTAAAATTTTTAAAAAATTATTTGTCTTTTATTAATTGTAGAAGTTGATTATTTTAATGAATAATAAAATTATTTGTCTTTTATTAATTGTAGAAGTTGATTATTTTAATGAATAATAAAATTATGTAAAAATTATTTTTTAAAATTTTTAAAAAATTATATACAAATAACAATTTGATTGATTATGAAAAATTTAAAAGATTAATATGTAAAAAAATTTAAATAGAAAGAATCTCTCTTGACAAATGGAGTACAACCATTTCTAACATTTTTAAAAAATAATAAAAGAAAAAAATTAATCATCAACATGGGTTGACCGTTACAAATAAAAAAAAATAAAAATTTGGATAAAATTTACTTAAAAATCTATATTTTGGAATTAAAATTAAGTAAATTAATAATAAAAATATAAATTGTCAAATTTTAATAAAGCAAAAACAATTTTTATCATAAAACCAACAAGATAATACAATTGAATGGCAATGTCTCGATATTTTTATTTAAATATTTTACCAATTACATTGCATCATCAATTACAATATGCGTCAACACTATCTTGAAGTTTGGTGAAATCACAAGCTTTAGGAAACTTGTTGAAGCATATGTATATATGTAGCATAAATATTAGGAAAGGCATCAATGGTATCTCTTGTAATTAAGTGTTATTTGAGGGTTAGATTAGCAAATCAGTTCAAATTCGGTTAGACTATTAGCTAGTCGTTAGAAGTTAATTGAGTCGGTATATAAACAAACCGACCTCACGAGTTTACATACGAAGTGCATGATTTTCATTTATTTGGAAATTGTTAGCAAAATAAAAAAGGTAGAGTATTTTCTCTCCAAGATCCTCTTCCTTCTCTCAACCTCGATTTCTCACATGGTATCAAAACGGGAGATTGATTAGTGTTGAAGAGTACTTCTAATTGCATATCAAATGGCTCTTGTGAATGACGATAGCTCAAGTTCGCTAGTAATAGCCTCTAATCCGTCGCAGTTGATGCGCTCCAATGATGGTTCTTGTGAATCAACCTTTGATTGGAGCTTCAAACTATATTCCATGGCGTAGATCAATGGAGATTATGCTTGCTTGTAAAAATAAGCTTGGATTTGTTAATGGTGACATTTCGACACCAAGGGATGGAGATCCAAACCTTCCATAGTGGGAATAAGTCAATAATATGATAATTTCTTGGTTACTTAGTGTTGTTTATAAAGAAATTGGCAAATCGATACTCCATGGTAAGCATTGAGATTATATGGTCCAATCTTAAGAAACGCTTTTCAAATAGTGTCGGCACTATGATCTATGGTTTGTGTAAGGCGATTACATCTTGCAATCAAGAAAATATAAACATTGAGACTTATTATACCAAACTCAAATAGTCGTGGGATGAATTAGAAGCCATGATACACATTCCATTATGCAGAGTAAGTGTTCATTGTGATGTTGCCAAGGCATGGGAAGAACAACAGGATGAACAAAGATTAATGCAGTTTTTGATGGGTTTGAATGATGTTTTTAAGCCGGTTAGAGATCAGATTTTACTCGTTAAAACCACTCGCCATATATGGAAGATGCATACTCTATGGTTTAACAAGAGGAAAAACAGATGGAAGTTTCACAGTTCATGCCTATGGAGGATGTAACAACATTTCTAATCACTAAGTATACCATAAATACCATGAAAATCATGATCAAAGGAATCAATATGAAATCCGGATATTTAAAAGACTTTATGGTGTGAATATTATCAAACATCAAGACATGTGAAGGCTAAATACTATAAACTCCATGGTTATCCACGTAACTACAAACCGAAAGGGAGGAGGAATATTGTGCTCGCTCTTGGCATTTTGCAAAAAGGTTAGAGTCACAGTGTTAAATTCAATGAACAGTTGCACCATGGGGATTTGTCTAAGAAGTCGGCCATCGAAGATTCAAACAAGTATGTGTGCTAATTCCGGATTGAATTCAATGCCTAAAAAACCAGTGCCAATGTTTCCTCCCAAATTCATCTTCCTTTTACTCTTGACCAAGTCAACCAACTTCTACATCTGCTTACTCAACAAAATGCATTGGTTTCAACACAAATATAGAAAACATAGCATCTAGTAGGTATTAGTCATTGCCTCTCCGTATCTCATAAAATTGATGATCGAATCATTGACGGTGGTGCCACCGATCATATTACCCATTGTTATGAGCTATTACAATCACCTATAAAACTACATGATCCACACTTAGTCCATTTGCTAGATGGTTCCAAGTGCATACGTGATAAATATAGGAACCGTTGTATTACATTTTGCCATTACCTTGCATAATGTTCTTTTTGTTCTAGCTTTCAAATACAATCTTTTATCCGTCGACAAACTCCTTAGAGATTCCAATTGCATTATTACCTTCACATCCAAATCTTACCATATGTAGGACCATGTACGGAGGACGACTGTGGAAATTGGTAAACAAGTTGATGGCTTATGTTATCTTAATGCTACTCATAAAGCACCCGAAACTAAACTTTCTTGCTCGGTTCCAATTGTTCATCATTCTATCATAACTCCGTTAGACAAGTATATGCCTGTGGCATTGTAGGTTAGGTCATGCTTCATCAAGTAAACTCAAATATCTCATGTCCGTCATTCTTGGATTATATGATGCAAAATACAAGGATTGTACCATTTGTCCTCTCGCCAAACGGACTCGCATTACCATTCAATAAAAGTATAATCTCTTTTTCTAAAGCATTTCAAATTATTCATTTTGATGTTTGAGGATCATATAAAGTTCCAACATATAATGGTTTCAAATATTTTCTAACCCTTGTTGATGACTTCATCCAAAATAACCTATTTGATGATCTCAAAGAGTGAAGTTCCCTCATTATTGTAATCCTTCTTTAAGCTAGTCCAAAATCGGTTCCAAAGCTCCATATAGACAATTCGAACCGATAATGGTTTAGAATTTGTTAACCAAGCCTTAAAATCCTTTTGCCTAGCTAATGGTATTCTTTACCGGACTAGTTGTTTTTATAATCCACAACAAAATGGTGTTCCCGAATGCAAACACGGACATGTTCTTGAGAGAGCTTGGGCTTTAAGATTTCAATCCTCCTTACCTATTCGATTTTGGGGAGAGTATGTGTTAATCGCCACTCATATAGTTAACAAAATACCCTATTTTGTTCTCAATAACAAATCACCATTTGAAGCCCTTTTTAATTCTCCACCCAATTATAATCATTTAAGAGTGTTTGGATGTTTGATTTTTTTTTCATCCACCATTGCTCATAATAGAGATAAGTTTGCTCTTCGTGCCCTAGCTTATGTCTTCATTGGTTATCCTCACCGCCAAAAAGGTTACAAGGTGTATGATTTGGAGTCTCACAAAACTTTTTTCAGTCGTGACATTCGGTTTGTTGAGTCGGTTTTTCCTTTTGCCTTTTTATCTCGGCATTCGAGTAATACTCTTCCTTGTCCTTCAAACCTCAATGAATTTGCTTTTCACTCGGATGTTAGTGCTCGATGATGTTTTACCTTCTACTCGGTCTCTCCCTTGCATTCTAGCCTTCGACTCTATCTTCCTTAATCCTCCTTTATTTCACCCTACTATCGCTCCCATTCCGCATTCACTTCCTGCTGTGTCTTGTAAATCGGCTAGGCACAAAGGCCCTCCGGTATGACAACACGACTATATATGTTCATCAAATTTATCTATTCACCCAGCTATTTTTCCGCATACATCTCCACCCTTACATTGCATTTACCCTAGGTCTAACTTCATAGGCCCTCTTGGTAAGCATCGTCGTTGGGTGTAAATGGGTATATAAAGTGAAGTACAAGGCCGATGGTTTTGTGGAAAGATATAAGACACGTTTGGCGACCAAAGGGTATACTCGGACCGAAGGACTTGATTATCAAGAGACTTTTGCCCCTATGGAAAAAATGACCACTCGTCGAACCGTTTTAGCTATTGCAATTGCTAAGGGTTGGATTTTGTACTAGTTAGATGTTAATAATGCGTTTTTGCATGGTGATCTACATGAGGAGGTCTATATGAAACTCTCTCCGGGTTTTGTGGTTTCGAGTGATCGAACCAAACCTATTTACAGAGTTGGTCAAGTCTCCGTATGGGCTCAAACAAGCTTTTCGCTAGTGGTTTTCCAAATTCTCTTCCATTTTGCTTTCGTAGGGTTTCAACAATCCCGAGTGTGATCACTCCCTCTTCACTCGCATTGATGGGAATCACTTCGCTGCTTCCGTTAGTTTATGTTGATAATGTCGTGCTCACCGGTACTAATCAATAACTCCTTGATAATTTAAAGCTCTTATTGGATGCTAAGTTCAAAATCAAAGACCTTAGCACCTTGACATACTTTCCGGGCATTAAGGTTATTCGCACTCCGGATGGTCTACACCTAAATCGGCGAAAGTATGTTCAAGATATCCTATATGATGCTTGGTCTCTCCGGAGCAAAACCTAGCCCTATTCCTATGGACCAAGCATCATCGACTCAATGCATCCGATGGGGATAGCTTGCTAGATCCTTTGTCTTATAAAATGGTGGTTGGTAGATTGATATACCTTACCATTTTCAAACATGATCTCACCTACCCCGTTCATATCCTCGACTAATTCATGGCTAATCCCCGAGTTCCTCATCTCCAGGATGGCTCACAAGGTGCTTCGAGTATGTGAAGGGCACCTCGAGACATGGGTAATTTTTTCCAACAAACCAACCCTTATCTTTACAGACCCTTCAGTGATGCTGATTAGGCGACGATGCCCTATGACCGGAAGGTCTATCACCGGTTTTCGCACCATGTTAGGTGTAGGGATGGCAATTTGCCCCACCTCAATGGAGCCCCGTCCCGCCTCGCGTCAATTTTTCTCGATCAACGCGAGGATTCCCCGCGTTGATGGGGGAACGGGCGGGGCACCTCACGAGCGAGGACGGGGCAAGGATGGGATTTGCCTACCCGGCCCGTTTGCCCTATTTCTTTTTTTTTTCATTAAAATTATAATTATACCCCATTAAAATCTATAATTAGTAGCTTTTAAAGTTTATTTTTTATATAAATTATCATTTTTTTGCTATAATTTAAAATTTGATAGTAAAATTGGATAAAATGAGATGAAAAAAAATAATTTTTGTCCCGTTTGCGCCTCGTTTGGGGTGAGGATGGTAGGGGAAATTTTGCCTCGTTCGGGGCATGGGGTGGAGATAGAGAAAATGTTTTAGCAGTAGGGTGGGGATGGGGAAAATTTTTAGGGGTGAGTCGGGGACGGGGATGACGATCCCCGTCCCCGCCCCGCCCGACCCATTGCCATTCCTAGTTGGGTGGTTCTCTCATTTCCCGACGCACCAAAATGCAAGCATACGGTTTCCAAATCCTTAGTTGAGTCTAAGCATCCGTTTCGCCGTAAGCTCACCGGGCTCTCGAACCGATTGATAAGAGTTACAAGTCTCCGGCTTGACTCATATCCCTTTGGCTTATGATAACCAAGTCGCATTACACATTGCCTCTAACCCCGTCTATCATGAACGCACAAAACATATTGAACTTGATTGTCATCTTGTGCGGGAGAAGTTGCAACAAGGAATGATTTCAACTCATTATCTCTCTACTTAATCCTGTGTCGCGAACTTATTTACCAAGGTCGTCGGTAAAGCTCGGTTGTAGCACTTTCTTAGCAAGTCGGGCATTTGCCAACTCTTGCAAATTCCAACTTGAGGGGGATGTTGAAGCATATATATATATATATTAGGAAAGGCAAGCAATGGCATCTCTTATAATTAAGTGTTAGTTGAAGTTTAGATTAGCAAATTAGTTCAAATTCGAGTTAGATTGTTAGTTAGTCGTTAGAAGTTGAGTCGGTATATAAACAAACTAACCTCACAGGTTTACATACGAAGTGCATGATTTTCATTTGTTTGGAAATCGTTAGCAAAATAACAAAGGCAGAGTATTTTATCTTAAAGATCCTCTTCCTTCTTTTAACTCGATTTCTCACAAAACTAACGACTAGCCGCAAATCGAACATTTACTAGCTTGTTTTAACTAAAGATTGAAATTAGAGAGGGGTTTTTATATGTCAAACAATACAATTTTTAAGAGTTTTCAATAGGATTTGTATTATTATGCCAGAGAAAAAAATACATAATCATTTACATGCTTGACTTTTAGTTAATTCATTACTTTAGAAATGTCAAAAAAACCATTCAAATCCGAAAGCTTAAACTAATTTTCCTCTTCATAGTTTTTTTAGGATCAATTTGAGTTAGATTTTAGCTCATATAATTTGTTTGAAAACGAATATGATGGATCAATTTATAATATAGCTGCTTTGTAATTTCATCATTATTTTTCGCGATAAATTAAGAGCAGATTTATAAGTTATATATAATAATCACGAGCTAATAAATGTCCAAAAGAATCTCCGCGCAAATCACGAGTAGAATTTCGAAAAGACTCTCCGTTACGTTCTCTCTCGATTCGTGGACGCTAGGCCAAAAAGGATAGATGTGCTGTCGAGAGACCCCTAAAAGAACTAATTTAAGAAAGGATTGGCCTTTCCTACCTTTGAATCACATCAAATATCCTTGGAGATTTGATTCTCTGGCCTTGGTTTTCAAGAAAGAGATGAGCTTCCAATGCAAAAACTTTCAATTCATCTACAAATTAGGATTATTGTACGTGCCCCCATTTCGATCAAGATGTAACACCTTGCCCACACGGTCGGACCCCACCCACCTAACTTGATTAATCGGCCACTAATGTTGAGCTCTCTATAAATTGTAAAATTACTAGGGCCCAATATATATATATATATATATAACTTTGAGAAAGGAATGACTTGTCTTAGAAATGGAAGTTCCCATATCCTAGCTGATATTTTATCTGGAGACCACAGTGACCTCATGTAATTCTGACTAGCCAAGCCAGTTGTAGTTAGCATTTGTCGGCATATCCTAATCGGAATTTGGTTCCACATTGGTTTTAGATCTTGACGTAACAGGTCAAGTTTCCCATGGCGTGGAAATAGATTGATGCATGATTGCATGACTTAACCAAACTAATTCATGTAAAAAGGTTACTGGTTAAATTCTTCTTCTTTCTTTTTTTTTTTTTTTTTTTTTTTTTTTTTTGGGTAGACAGATTCGTAAACAGTTTTTTATCATTTATAATTCGGGGTTGACTTTTGTAAATAAAAAGAGGAAATAAAATTTTGCGCATGTGTGATTATAATTAACTTCTCCTTCGATGGGTTTGCGATGAGATCATCATGTCTTACGCAAATAGATGGGTAGGCCTTTTGGTGAGAACCTTTTCTCACCAAAAGCTAGAAAGGCAGATATCATCTGATCAACTCTCAGCATCATACATGGGTATCTCCTCAGTGACAGAACCGAGACATCGCATCGGAGAACCAAATCGACGTTTGTACGTGATGTATAGGACAGTAATGCATATGTACGTTGATAAGGATAGGACTTCATCTGTTCTATCTTCTTCTGGGTTTCGTATATTTTAGCTTAGCATCCTAAACCATATGGTGTTAGTTTGTTATACCTAACCTATACTTGTTTTCATGCGTTGTTTTTTTGTACAAGTATCACCTATAAAACATATTGTAAAGTGAGAGAATTAACATACTTACATAGTATCAGAGTAAAAAAAAAATTAATAGTCCACTATATATATTTTTTTCTCTTCACCATGGTCGCTGCATCACAAGACAGAACTCTAGTCATTGCATGCAGCTTCTTCTTCTTCTACAGTTTCGTCATCACTTTCCAATCTTAACAGTCCTTCCTTGCTTAAACTCACTTCCACCAATTTCAGTCTCGGGCAAATACAATTTCATCCACTTTTGCATTGTCATAGTCTTCTACACAATATTGATGGCTCTCAACCTCTACCCGCTGCTACTCTCGATGATAATGAACCCAAGCCAGCCTATGCCCTTGGGGACCGACATGATCAATTGATCTCACCTGGATTATTGCCTCCTTGATAGAAGCAGTCCTTCCTTTTGTAGTTGGTGCTCCAACAACCCGTGCAACTTGGTTTAAAATCATAGCTACATATGGTTCTGGCACAAGGACACAAGTTAATCACCTCAAAAGCAGTCTTTATTGACTTGTTCAATTGCCAATTGAATCCATTTCTCAATATTCCCAGTGTGGAAAGAGCATTTATGATATTCTTCAACCTTTTGGCTCACCTGTCCTAGAAGATGACTTGGTACAAGCCTTATTACATGGCTTTGCTGCTTCTTATAGGCCTTTCGTGTGCTTGATAGAATCAAGGCCAGAACCTATTCCTTATGAGACTCTCTATGGTCTCGCTGTCAATGAAGAATTCTAGCCTCAAGATGGCCTTTAGCCTGCTAAAATTCCTATCTCTGTTCAATATGCCAGTTATTAGTTTTCTAGTCGTGGTTGAGGTCATCGTGCTGAATGTCCTTCACATTTTGGTTCTCACCAAGGGGCTTTTTTTAAAAAAATCATATGTTGCCTGACTCCAATCATGTTGTTTATTTTAATTGTAATGGCACTGGACAGATTGCCAATGTATGTCCCTCTCCAAGGTCCCGAACAACCACCCGCAACACTAAAACCTCCTCTTATTTTGCTTTCTCAACCTCCCCACCAAAAAATTCAGTGGATTATGGACACTAGCACAACTCGTCATGATGTCACAATTAAAAAATCTTACGATTCCTAATGGGTATATTATCCTGAGAAGGTGCAATTAACTGATGGTAAACACATTTTCATTTCTTATGTTGGTTTTTATTTTCTTTTCAGCTTAATAATTATCCATTTTATCTTTAATAATATCTTATACATTCCTTCTAGTAGTCAAAATCTCTTGTCTGTTAGTAGCTTTACAAAAAATAATTCATGTTCTCTTGAATTTTTTCTTGATAATTTTTTTTTTGTAAAGGACTTAGATTCTCAAAAACTACTACACGTGGGTCCCCTTGACAACGAGTCTCTACATTTTCTCCTTAGATCATGCCTTAGGAGGCCTTTTTTCTATTCAACCTTACAGCACCAATTTAGCAACCTAGTATGCTTGCTTTGGACAAGTGTTGACCGAGGCCCGGACGCGGATGGAGTTGCCACCTAACAATTAGGAGGAGCTAGGAAACCTTGAAACAAACCGATCTATATAAATATCCGAGTAAAGAGTTGATTATGTATGAAAAAGATTAACATCACCACCATCTCATCCTACTTGAGATAGGCTATATTGTATATATGTGAAAATTAAGGTCTAATCTTATTATGTTATGATATTATGCCTACTTGAATGAATTTGTTTTATGAAGATCAATTGGTGAAGTAATTTAGGGTTTAGGCTAGTCAAAGGCCTATACTCATACGCTAAAGAAAAAATAAGGATAGAAGTTGAAAATTTAGCTAATCCCTAGAGACTCGCAAACTCGTATCAATAAATAAGCGATTCTCTAAGGATTTAGAGCCCATATTGACACAACCTGGAAATCACTCGAAACTTCGTCTATATAAATGTGAAGTCACCGATAATTGTAATTCATGAATTTAGAAAGCCATCAATAACTCGACTTCACAAAAGTGAAAAGTCATTGTCGACTTCAAATATTAGGAAGCCACTCACAGCTTCATCCACACAAGTGGAAAGTCGCTCGTAGCTTCGGTTCACCCAAACATCCAGATTGTTCAAATATTAGGAAGTCACTAATGACTTCGTTCACATGATTGAAAGCCACCGATAGCTTCGGTTCACACAAACAACAAGTTATTTAAATATTTAAAAGCCATTGATAACTTCATCCATATATGTAGAAAATCACTAACAGTTTCATTTCAAAAGACAACGAGTCATTTTAAATATTTAGAAGCTACCGATAGTTTTAGTTCGGTAGACAACAACTCATTTAAAATATCTAAAAGCCACTAGCAACTTCATCCATATGAGTAAAAAACCATCAATAGCTTCGGTTCAACGGATGGTAGGATATTTAAAATATCTAGAAGCCACTTGCTAGCTTCCTCCATACGAGTGGGAAGTCATCGACAACTTCAATTCAACGAGATAACAAGTTATTTAAAATATCTAAAAGCCTCTAACAACTTCATTTACATGAGTGGAAAGCCATCAAAAGCTTTTGTTCAATCTTGAAGTCATTAATAGCTTTATCCTTATGAGTGAGAAGCCATCATCAATTTTGTTTCAATATACAACAAGTCATTTAAAATATCTAGAACCCTTTAGAAGCTTTATATGTATGAGTGGAAAGTCATTAATAATTTCGATTCAATGTATAGTAAGTTATTTAAAATAACTAGAAGTCATTAGTAACTTTGTTCATACAAGTGGCAATCCACTAATAACTTTGATTCAATGATAACATTTCATGCACATCATCCTTTAGACATGAACATCATGTTATATAGATATCACAATCAGCACTTGGATCAATCAAATCATCCAAAACAAACATAAAATTATTTTTAAGTGCAAACACCAAGATTGATATTCATCCTTGATAAACCAGGTAGAATTAAATCTCATACCCAATCCTTCAAATTTTATTACGGAGCATTAATCACCAACTTTATCACTCTTAAAAATACATAGGTTCTCTAGCCTTTTTGAGTTTTATATGCAATGACATATCTAGTAACACTCCAAACATCTAATAATCATAATCAAATCAACATTGATATCTCACTCATTTGAAATAATAAAACATAAATAAATTATAACATTCATCATTTCAAAGTTAAACGGATATAATCATTTTTTAATTTTACCCAAGATAATTATCGAACGATGCTTGAATCACTAAAATTTTTAGTGGGTAGGTTTCAATTTCTTCAATCTCAATGAAGATTGATTATTCAATCAACCAAATAGGGAAAAATGGATGCCCATTGCTATCGATCCAACTAATATAAAAGGCTATTTTTGGAACAATAATTATTGGTGTTGTTGTTGTTGTGGTTGAACGAAGTAGGTGGTCGCCTTCATTGGGTGGCTACTAGAGAAAAGGAACAATATCTATGGAGATACTATGATGATGGTCAAATGACTAGATGTTTGGAATGATGGCTGGTGGTCGTGGGATTTCATCGAAGTGGCTCGAGAGCTAGGAAGGCTATTGTAATTTTTTTTAAAACTCGTGGACTATTATTGATAATGATTAAATGATCATGAAAGTCACTCGAGATGATCGAACAACCATGAGGCTACAATGGGATGAATTGATGATGACTACGAAGTTGATGAGGTCAATAATGATAGTGATAGGGTTTGGGTTTTTAGACTGTTTTAGACTAAGCATAGTTCGAGTTGTTTTGGTTAGGGTTCTATTGGCTAGGGTAGTTGTTGCGGTTGTGGAAAGTGGATGTTGGTTTGAGTTATGTTTGTGTGTCCTACGGAGAGAGTTTATGGTCGGACATAGGAGGTCGGGTGTCTTGGGATAGCTTGGAGAGGTGTTATAGGTTAGGTTAAGGAGATGTTCGGTGGCTACTATGGTTGTGGGGTGAGGTCGAAGGAGTTTTGGTGAGCTTCAATGGTGTTTGGATGATCGATGAGGCATATAAAGGCTACTGTGGTGGTGAGGTTAAGTCTATTGCTAATGTTTTTGGGGTTTGGTTAGCCACCGAAAGCTTGGCTAGTGTTTAAAAGGAGGTGAGGTATGGTGGTTATGATTTTTTTTCTCTTTAAAGATGGTGAATGAGTAATAACTAGAATTGAAAATAGGGAGAGAAGTTGTATTTATATGGGGACTAATTAGGGTTTAGGGCAAAAATCAATTTTGGTTCATGATGTATCCATTTTTTCAATTTTAGTCTCTTTCTCTTTATTTTTCTTGAATTTTACCCTTAATTAAACTTATTAAAGCCTTTTTCTTCTATTTTTTTTATTCAACTACACACCCTCTTATCTTTAATTAAAACCCTTGGGTATTAAACCCTTTCAATTATATCCCCAATTGGATTTTCTTTTGTCCTCACTTCTTATATATTTTTTTCAATTGGACAATTGCAATTATTTTCTTTAATTTATTCTATTTTCTCTTCTTTTTTTCCTTCTCCTTTTTAGTATTTTCTTTTAATTCATAAAAATTTTAAAAATTAGGTGTGGGAAAAATTATGTGCTAACATCATGCATCCTCCAAGATAGTTCAACATGCCTTAAAAGATACTAAAATTGCTATTTATTCATAACCAGTTTCATCTTTGTGTCATTCTTATTCTCTTAGTAAAATTCATAGATTGTTGTTTCCTCAATCTAATTATGAGGCCAATGCACCGTTAGAATTAGTTTGTTTAGATCTTTGGGTGTTTTCTCTTGTATCCTCTATGGATGGATATTCATATTATGTTATTTTCTATGATCATTATAGTAAGTATTGTTGGTTTTTTTTCCCTATAAATTAGATATCCTCAATTGTTTCATTAAATTTAGACATATTGTTGAAAAAATATTTGATAAATCTATTAAATAATTTTTAGTCCGATAGGAGAATAAAATACTAGAGCTTAACCAAATACCTTAAGAAAATGAAATTTCTCAAAGAAGTGCATGTCTTAAAACACTAGAAAAAAATAGATGTGCTAAGTAGAAACACCATTGTATAGTTGAAATAAGCTTAGCACATCTCAATTTGCTCCATTATCTTTTTGGACTTATGCTTTTGATGCTATCATTTATACAATCAATAGACTTTCCACACCACGCTTACAAAACAAGTCTCCTTATTTCATTTTTTTGGCACCCTACCTTTTTATGATGAGCTAAAGACTTTTAGTTCTTATGTTACTTGTGGTTACATCGGTATGCTAGTCATAAACTTGTACTTTTTTTTTGTGTTTTTTAGGTTATAGTAAAGTTTATAAAAGGTACTAATATTATGATCTTTCTAATAAAAAAATTCATGTTTCACGTTATGTCTTATTTAATGAATAGATTTTTCCTTTGCTTTGGCTATTCATAACTCACAAGTGTTACACACTTTACTTGGACATTTTTTCCTTACCCATACCACAACAAAATACTTTACAAACCCCTTTACCATATATATTATTCACCCCCATCTCACCATATAATTATATCTCCACCATTCCAATGAACATTCCTTATAATCCTTAATTTCCATCACCCATATAGACTCACAACATATCCTGCAACCATATTCTAACATCTACACCCAATCCTACTCTAACCTAAACATGCAACTGAAGAAAAAACATCATATAGAGGAGTAGAATAAATAATAAAAATTTGTTTTCCTCCATTTATACTCCCAAGATCACCATTAAATCAACTAATTGTATTAAGAGATATTTAAATCATTATCTCTTGAAGTGTAGTAATAAGTTAGCAAATTGAACAATATAAGTATTAGGTCTATTGACGTTGGCCATCGCGAGGAGGGCATGAATAAGGAGTCATTACCTAACTAATTAAGGAGAACTAGAAAATCCTAAACATATTAGTCAACATAGATATTTAGGTAAGGGGTCGATTACGTATGAGGAAGATATGACATCAACACCATCTCATCCTATCAAAGGTAGGTCGCATTGTTTGGCTATGAATATAAAAATCTAGTTTTTTATCGTGTTATGCTTCTATACCTATTTAAATGATTTTATTTTGTAAAAATATAAAACAGAATGGTTCGGATGTAAAATAGGATAGTTTGGAACTTTAGGCTAGTTTGAAGCCAATACTTCTTACCCAAATGTGGAAAGATGGGGGAAACTAGAATTTCGACTAGTCATAAATCAACATAACCTATTATAAACAAATAGATGAGTTTTTAAAGATGGATAGCCTTTTATTGGCATGAACAAGGAGTCACCGGTGACTTCACTCACATAAATTGAAGCCACCGATGACTTCGAGTCATGAATTTGAGAAGCTATCAATAACTTCTTCACATGAGTCGAAAGTTATTGGCAACTCTAATTTTGCTCAAACAAGTAGATAACTAGTTTAGAAGCCACCGATGACTTTGTCACAAAAGTGAAAAGCCACTAGTGGCTTCATTTAAATAAGCAAACATTAAATAACATTATTTTGAAACCACTAGTGGCTTCATCACATAAGTAGGAAGCCACCGACAGTTTTGTTTTGATAAAATAAGAAACAAGAAATAGAAAATAGAAAAACCCTACATCCGTATTTGTAAGGCTTTTATTAATTAGTAGCTTTTTCTCCTTTTCAACCGAAAGGGGATTCAAATTTTTTTACCAAGTAAACAAGATTCCTTAGACATCATCAAATGATTCTAGATATCTATTTATAAGTAGATTGTATATGAGATTCTTGTTTATTTGGCTAAGTTGATGTTGTTATAAATTTATGTTGTTTTAGATCATTTGAGTCTTTTACTATTTATTTTACATACATGGGAGTTATGTTCAAAACATATATTTATTATCAAGATATTTTCATAAAACTCATCTTTAAAAATAACCATTATTCTTAAAAATGAAATACTTATTCAAAATAAAAAAATAAAAAAACATCTTTAGTCTCTAATAATAATAATAATAATAATAATTGAGTCTTAGCACATTACTACATAATAGTGCTAGCTCATAAATATCTACATCTAATGGTCCAACTCTTGATCCATTGTAGTCATATAGGACATCTCCCTTGAAGCTATTTTCTTTTCTTTTCTAAGCTTATGTACATTTCATAAATGTGAGCACCACATATAGAATCATATACCTATGGAGTGGAATTTAGAAATAAGAAAATCAATTTTAATAACATAAATACCCGAAGTGGTGGTAGAACTCTTTTCTTGTACCCCTTCTAGGTACTCCCTGCAGATTGCGCTTCTAATGCCCTTTCTTGTTGTAATGAAAGTAAACCGCATCCTTTGGGCTATTCCGAGCCTTAAGCTTTTTCACTCCTCCGAGTTAGCATAGTTGAAGACTTCTTTTCTTGGCTTTTTCTTGCGCTTTACTGCACCATTTCCCTAATTAACTAGAAGTACAAAACTCTTATTCTTCTTATTAATTTTGGGTCGAGCTTCCCTTAGCATAAATAATAACTTTCTAAGAGTTTTTTTCATGTGCATCATATTAAAGTTCATGATGAAATATCCAAATTTATTGGGTAATAATTGTAGTACTAGGTCAATGGATAATTCGATATCTATTCTAGCTTCAAGCTCGACCGATCTGTCGATATAGCTTATCATTTAAGTGACATGTTTTTGATGTTAAATCTCTCATCCATTCTGGTTCTAATTAGCTTTCTCACTATCTCATAGTGCTCATGCCTAGTATTCTCCTCAAATAAACTTTTAAGCTTTGCTATGATCTCAAAAACTTTTGAGTTTCTATGTTGGTGCCTATGCTCCAACATCATAGCAACAAGCATGATGCTACGAGCGAGTGATTACATCATCTCTATGTTTGATCCATGCTATATGAGCTTCGGTTTGATCATGAGGAGGCTCAACTGGAAGAGCTTTCTCTATCGTATAGATAATTTTCTCATATTGAAGGACTATCCTCAAATTCATTTCTCAATCGAGGAAGTTTATGCCATTGAAGGTATTACTTTTGTTAATTATCAATCGTATCGATGTGTTACCAGATCATACTATGCAATCCGATAGTATAGAAAAATGTACAATTTGATTAATTAAATTATATAAAATAAAATAAAGCATAAATCAAAGAATTAAAATCTATGTTCGCTTCTACTATTTTCTTCAAGTTCTATAACTTTCAATATAAGACTCAAGAAAATTTTTTGATTCATTTTCTTAGTGGGTTAGGATCCCATTCTCTAACATGCATTAACCTTAAGTTATATTAACAAGCCATACGTGAAGGATTAGGTAGGTAATTCCTTACCAATTACATCTAATGTAATTCCTAATCTTATTGGCATGACAACTCTTTGTCGGATCACATCTTATATGAATACCAATCCTTATCTACTAGTTTATTGGACCTTGAGTTATCTTAACAAACCTAACAACTCATTTAAGTTAGACCCAATGTTCGAGGACATCACATGGCCCCGATTTGTTTCTCTCGAGGAAGAAGTGACCTTGAGTTATCTCAATAAACTAATAACGACCAAGAGAGTTCCCTCCTCATAATATTAGAAAACAATTAACTTAATATTTTATTTGAAAGATTTAATTTGATTTAACTTAATATTTTATTTAAAAGATTTAATTTGATTGGTCTCATCCTAGCATGCATACTAATCAATAATCACATTATTCCTAACATGCATACTAATATTAATCACATAATATACATACATCTTATGCATGATACAAAGGATTAGTGAATGATAATGGATCTCTAATACTAGCCTCTTCGAACCACAAGGAGACTAGTTGGTCAAATTCTTAGGTAAAAAATTATTATAAATTCTTCGAGAATGTCTTTATTTCTTGGCATCTTCTCTTTGCATCTATTCTAATTTCTATCTTCTACTTTTACATTTATTTGAATAAGAAACCTTGAGTTACATTTAAGAGGAGTAAGATGAGAAGAGAAACAGAATAGAGTATAAG